GGATTTACTGCTGTTGTCGCTCCGCTCACAGAGAGAGTCAATTTATCACCACCCTATTTGATGAAGAAAGCAAGAAAGCAAACACATTATGGCTGGCGTCTAGCATAAAGCAGACATAATAAATAATATAAACATAAACCGCAACGGAATAATAATCTTGACAAAATTATTACTTAATAAGTTATATTAAGGCAAAAATACCTTAAATTTAAAAAGGTGTAAAATATAAAAAGAATATAATTAATGTACACAATTAAAAATACGATCAATATACACAAAAGACATACAATATAAACGATTCAAGCAGGACAAAAACTATAAAAATAGAGAAAATTGTAAATGAAAATTAACGATGCTTACCACGGAAACGATAGTTGCCGCATCCGAGTGTTGATTTTTCTTTGCAATCACTCCAGAGCTTTCTGTGGACGTGATGGAGACCAAATTCGAGTTTTTCCCCTGCTCAAGAGTAGCCTTCAGTATGTTACACTTTAGAGATTCCGGCGGAATTGGTGTTCGAGGGGGTAACGATGACGTTCCACCCACTTGATTATTAGGCACTAGCTGTACTTGATTGGTGATAGTTTCAACTGCCAGACTGGTCTTCATAGGTTCTGACTCTTTCTCGCTATTGCTGACCGTCGTCTGGTTCCTGGCCTCTAGTGGTTGTTGATCTTTGGCGAGAGATTTCAACAGAGAATCTACCAAAGGCGATGACGTACCCTGAATACTCGAGGAGTTCGAAGATTTTGTACTGGATCGATTCGATTGACGTTGCAAGGGTTCTTCGTCGGCTGAAAATATAATATAAAAAATAATAAAAAACATAATATATAAATGATATTCGAAATATTACAGATTAAAAAATCAGAGAAATAATTCTTAATAGTTTAAATGATCTTTTTTTACGTCAAAGTTTAATTATAAATATTTTCCTTATCAAAATCTAAAATATTTAAAAAATATCTCAATAAAAGAATATTTTTTAAAAATATTCTCAAAATATAATTTAGTTCAAATAAACTGAAATATAATATTTTATCATCTATTCGCATTTTTAAGCAGCTTACGAAAATTTCTTTTTTTTAATAATAAAGTTTAATAATAAAGTGTTAAGTTTCGAAATATGAGATTGCCATCATTATGTTAATTCAAATGTATTTCAGCTCACCTGGAGGTGGAGAAGGTTGCGGCTGTTCTACCTGTTGTTGCTGACGCTGCCTTTCGCGAAGAACGTGACTTTGTCGTCGCGCATATCTTTGACTCGGTCGTCGCTCGAATTGCACAGTGCGACGCGCCCGATTCAACTGCGTCGTCTGAAATTCCGTTTTGCCGCTGTAACGAAAACGCGAACCCATACGGAAAAAGTTTTGACGGCCGCTAGTTCCCTTGACCGGTGCGCGTAGACGGAAAAAAGCATGATGTTCCACCGCGCACTTCCATAAATGCTTGCAGGCTTTTTCATTCACCAATCTAAACACGAAAGTATGCTCCTGCTCGCCTCTGCCTTCATCGTCCTCTTCTACGACCACCAGCGTCAGCTTTTTTTTCTTGAAGTCCAAACGACCGATCTTTGGCCAGAAGAACAAGCCTATCTTTTGCGTGCCTTCAAAAACCAGGATGCCGGTTGGAGTCAAGCCCAGAGAATACTCGCAGGCGTCTTTACCAAGAACAATGTGCATGTCGACACCATACATATCTAGCCATTTAGCCTTGCTAAGATATGCGGATTCTGCTTGGGCCGGGCTGAGACCAGAACATTTGATGTATTCTTCCAGAATCTCCAATTCCATCTGTTCCGTTTGGCCTGGTACAAAGCGGAATTCCGATACAGTCGCAGCACTGTGCATAGCAGAATCGTAATCTCCTAATTCAGCTAAAAATTCCATTTTTTTATTGTACAATCATTTGTCACATGATGACAGCTACAATTTTATTATAGTTTAATTTTATTAATAGTAACAAAAATTAATAAAAATATTTTTTGAATAAATCAATATAATAATAATTAGAGACAACATAGGATGTCGGTGTGAAATTTAATTTAGAAAGATTTCAAACAATACGCAAACGTTTCGATTCAATTTCGGATCTTTATCAATGCTCGTGATTAAATTAGTCAGCTAAGTCATAGTGTTGTGACAACAATGTCATTGCATTTCCTGGCACAATGATCGTCGTTGTCACGACATTACAATTTAACTGACTAATTTAATTAATCACGAGCATTGATAAAGATTCAAAATTGGATCGAAATATTTGCATTTATTATTTGAAATCTTTTTGAATAAATTAAATTTCACATCCTGCTGACATCCTGTATTGGCTCTAATAGGCATTATTATTGTATTGATTTATGTCAATTGAACCATAAAAAACTTATTTTAATTCTTGAATAAACTTACATTGAAGAGCTAGAGCAGCTAACTGAACTGCAACTTGATGAGGACAGTGAAGTTTGCCTTCCAGAACATCTTGCTTCAACTGCAAGAAGAACTGGTACCGTGTCAGCTCCTCACGCAACGTGTTTGGTTCCGAAGAATAGAATTTTACTTTTAATCTGAGCGTGTACGGAGGGCCAACTAGATAAAAAATTATATAAGTTTATGTTCTTTTGCTTTTAAAAAAATTTTTTTTAAATACACACATACTTTTAACTTGTTTCTTGATAGGTTTTGTTGGATCTAGCCAGTGTTGGACATTATTGCTGTCTGTATATTGAAGTCCAAAATAATCCTTTTCAATTAAATCGAGACTATAAAATACTTGCTCATATAAGTCACTAGCCAATGCTTTTTTCTGCAAAAGAAGATTAACAATTATAAAACAACATAAGTACATATATATATATATATATATATATAGAGAGAGAGAGAGAGAGAGAGAGAGAGAGAGAGATGGAATTTACAGGATGGAGCATGAAATGTGTTGCATAATTTGCTTTATATATAACAATTTATTTTTAATAAAATGATAGAATTAACATACAATTAATTATAAAATCTGGAAATTTTATAATTAAATGTGTTAAATGATTTGGCATTTAGTGCATCACTGTATGTAAAAGCATGATCTAGTTTTTAGTCTGATTGATATGGTATAGGTATGGACAATAGATCCTTTTAATCTCATGTTTTTTTCTTTATATTCATGATGTTTATGTGAAGATACAAAAAACATTAGAAGAGCCTATGACAATTAAGAGTAAGATAGAAAAAAAAACTTGCCGACAACTCTATGGGCAGATCCGTGCCATCCAACAGTACCACCCTGCATTGCACAACATTTTTGTTGCTGGGTAATCTCTGATTCTTGATCTGCGACGAAGCGGTTTGACCGCTGACACCACGCGCCCTCCGTCGTGACAGGAACCTCAGCATCCTGGATCCTCGTCAAATCGAGATGTCCATCGACCTACAGATAAGACACGCAATCTGCTCACTCTCCCTCTCTTCGTCGTCGCGATTACCACTCTTTAATGATAACCACCTACTAAATTTGTGAAGATTCCAACTCTGAAATCTCACGGCGTCTGCAACAATTCACATCAACCAGCACCACGTTCTCATATTCTACACCTATACGAAGATTACGTAGCGGCCGCGCCGCACAACAATAGCACACATATATCTAGTATCTACACCCGCATCCCCCCTCCCCCTTCTCACTCATGAGCGCGCATACGCCCGACGGCGGAAAACACCGGACGATGCTTCTTCCTGATGAGTTTCGGAACGAACATTACGAATGCATAGAGGTGTCAAAGAGGCGCGAAAGAGGGGTCCTTCGTAAGAAATTTAAACAATTGCGTGCTGTGTAATACACGAAATCGTTTAAATTTTCAAAATTTATAGTATTGTTACTCATTAAATTGCTATCAGAAATGTACTCATAAATAAATGTTAGTTGTATACTTCTAATTGTAAGCATATACTTTATTAGTGTAAGTACTTTAATAAGTATTGAAATTGAATTTACTGATAGATTAAAGCGTATTTTTTCATATATTATTAAAATAGTTCTGTGGAATTATAAATTATTGTGTAAGATTAAAGTATCTATATGCAATGATTTGATAGAAAGAATAACTTCATGAGAGCTAAAACGTTACATTTTTTATTTCAGTTTTGTCGAGATACTAAACATTATTAGTGTGTAATGTAATAGTATTTAAACTGGCTATTATATTGTAGGTATTCTAATTATAGTATAAGTATACATAAAAAAATAAACATTTGAAAAATGATATTAATGTATAATAATTATAGGAAATTAATATATAATAGTTATAGGAAATTAATATAAACATAAATAATTGTAATTTTTTTTATATGAATATTTATTTTTCAAAATGTAAAAACATCCACTTGTTGATACAAAATATTTAGTAACATTTACATCTTTTTTATTTATTTTAGCATTGTAATAAGCATCTATAATAAAATATATTATCGTCAATGTATAATTCATATCTCTATCTTGTCAAAATAATTAAGAATTATATTTATACATATATATACATATATATATATATATTAATATGTGTGTATACTACACATATATAATACATATATACTGTCTTATAATATATTTTCATATATAGGGTGTCTATTGTCTAATAAATATACATAATACATACTTTTTATAAACAAATAAAGTGAATAATTAGAAAAATTCTGTACTGTTTTCAATTTGCAATGATTAATGAGAAATTTATAAATAAATATTTGCGAATCAACATACATTTACACCCTTTAACGAACAATGTATAACATTGTCTCTTCTCGCTGAATCTCACAAATATTCATTTCATTCGCAGATCTTTATTATTAATTTTCATTTCTCATTAATTATTAGTAAATCACAAAGTTAGAGATACAGAACTTTTAAAAGATGTAATTATATATATAGATACACAATAATATAATATAAATTACCCTATATAACATGTTCATAATATGTTATACATGTATGTTATGTATGTATAAGTATATTATATACTACATATTTTTTTAATTTTATTGGAAAAAATATCGTTAGTGCCATTCGGTATTGACAAAACAGTGGTCGAGTTATAGAAATATTTGAGATATTCTACAAATCGATGAGTTTGAGTCGCAACGGTGATTTCACCGTATTTACAATTTGGCTCTCATGTTCGAGTGGTCCATAATGCCATTCAATCCGGAAATTTCGTATGACCTATATATAAAACAAGCATACTTTTATACATTATGTTCTTTCCAATTTACAATGTATGACAAAAATAATTTGAAGAATATAATATTTTCGCGATTGTTCCGCATGAGAATTATTTCGAAAATTAATGAAATTAATTTAAAAATATACAGCTCGATTCGTATTGACAGCTACGATTCCTATTGACAAAATGATTATTAAATTTTGTACAAAAAATTGTGTTAACAAATTAAACGTTTAGCTAATTGTTAGAATGAATATTATAAAATTAATACTTCAAAGAAAATATGAGGAAATATCACAGAGAGAGAGAGAGAGAGAGAGAGAGAGAGAGAACGAGAGATAAAAAATAAAAAAAGGAAATCGAAAAAATAAAAATAATTACATCTGTTTATATATATAAACAGATGTAATTATTTCTACCTTAAATTACATACATGTGTAATATAAAGTAGGATATGGAGATATACTTTCGAATTCTTAATTTGTGGATGTAGCAACCAAACGGAGTTGGAGAAATTTGTTTTTAATCTTTTGAGAATTCATAATCATTAAGATGCTATGTGATTTAGAAATTATTAATAGTTAGAAATTATTAAAAAAATAAAAGTTTACAAACTTTCAAGAGTAATATCTCGAGCTCCATCTCAGCGAATCTTTGTCCAATACAAGCGCGAACACCATAACCGAAAGGCATATATGCATAGGTATGCGTACTCCTATATAATAAAAATTCGGGACTATTCCGTATCCATCTTTCGGGAATATACTCCATAGGACGTGCAAAATACTTAGAATCCATCGAAAGCACTGCGTGACAAGCCATCACATTTGCCTGACGATATGAAAAAAGAAATCATGAAGAATGCAATCTTATTTCATAACGTAAAATTTCATTTATAATGTTTTATGAAATAGAGAATTATAAAATAAAATTTAAAATGAGAAACTATTTGATTATGAACTAATTATAAGCTTCAAAAGATTAATAGATAACTTATATTTCCAACAAAGAACAAATATAGATCCAATATCAAACAATTAACTATAGAAAAAAACTTTCAGAGTTTGTTAATGTATTCAATAGTCAATTGCTTGACACAATATTTATGTTTGCAAATAATATTTTATGTTTGCTTACTGAAGCATTTAAATCTTATTTTTCATTTAATTTAAAGGAAAATTTTTAATAGAAATTTAATGGAACGAATATTTAAAGTTTAGATATCAATAATGAGAACAATTGATATTGAATTAAATTTGACAAAAAAATCGATTTAAAATTTTGTAAAAATAATTAAAATTCTCTAAAGTTATTTATCATATTACAATGACATTGCTAAACTTTTTAACCAATTCTTTTTCCAATGCACATTTTTATTTTTTTAATACTATAAAAAATATTTTAATATTAGGATTAATAAAATATTAATACGTCTTAAGTTGATTTAGATAAATACTAGAAAAAACGACGTACTCCTTTTGGTATCAAGTATCCTCCTAAACAAACATCTTTCGGCATATTTCTTAGAATGCCATTAGTGATGGGAAACAGCCGCATACATTCTTTAATACAACCCCTTACATATGGTATCTTTTCCAAAAGATCATGTGTAATGAGTGTTGTTTTGTCAGGTAACACAGACATTACTTCTTTTCGCAATTTGTCCTGTTTTTCCTTATTACTTGCGATATAGTATAGCAAAGCGCCAGCCGCATTGGTTGTCTATATAAAAATGTTATTTATCTTTAATTATATTTTACTAATTCTATTATTTTTATTACAGGTTTCTTAATTCTATATTCTATATCTATTGTAAATTTATAAGCACACAGATCATGCATTATATTCCGTTTGTATATATAAATATATATATATATATATATATATATATATTTATTTATTTGAATTGTTCTAAG